GTGTCATTTTAAGTCCCCATAAATTTTTCAGGCATGGCCCTGGTATAAATTATTGATTAGGTATAGCAATGTATACACACAGTGGGTGCAATTAATAATGCATAACAAACTGTGAGATAATAAATTTGTGTTTTTAAATTATTTAGCATACATCAGATTCTTAACTAGCCTCTATTTATACACCATTTTAAATTAAAAGTACCTTTGCTTTTATGATGTTTTTTTGAGGAAAAAATTATAAATGTCAGAGGTGAAAGCCAGGCAGAGCAATTTAGCAAGACACACTTGGCCATCTCTCTCTCCTCTGATTCGTGCAAACTGAGCATAAGCTGTGGGAGCATGAACACAGATGATTATATCTTCCTTGCTGTGCTGAGTCTTCCTTCCTCCAGGCACTGAGGTTACCACTGAAGTTAATGGAAAGATTCCAGTCAACTTCAGCAGGAGCTGGATCAGGCTTTAACAGCGCAGGAGTCTCTCCTGTTGTGCTGCCATTGGATTTCCTCTGGCACTGCAGCATGGCATATGTGACTCCTACAATGGTGGTGAGAGTGGCAGCTGGTCATGGAGCTTATCAGCTATCTTAAAGTGCTTTGCGGCAGCTTTATTTTGCATAGAAAATGTCCGGCTCTTACAGAGGGGATCATGCCATGCAGAGTGGCTGCTCTAAGACTCCGCCCCTGCATTCATGTATGAACTAAGGCATGTCATGAGAAAATACTGCTTAGCGGCATTTCTCTGCTCTATGGCTTCCCCACGCCTTTTCTGCATAATCTATGGCTGTCCACTGTTTGCATTGTTCAATTAGCTTTTCGGGTAAGTGCTATGAATTAAAAAGAAAAAGCAATAGGCAGAAAGGATGCTCCAGTCTGAGACTGGGAGTCTGGAGACTGGGGTTCTATCTACAGTAAGTGACTTGCCCAAGGTCATACAGAAGGTCTGTGGCAAGGCCTTGTCTTCCGTAGGACCTTGGGCAAGTCACTTACTGACACTGTGCTTCAGGCTTTTCCATTTGTAAATAACAACACTTACCTAAGTACGTGGGGCTGAATGAGTTAATGTTTGTCAAGTGCTTTAAGGTCTTTGAATGGAAGGCACTACAGAAGTGTAAAATATTAATAATAATGTGCTCTAATGGATTGAGCTAAAAGTTGCAAACTGTAATGGGCCTGATTCTGACCCTTTCAACATCCATGACAAACCCTCATTGACTCCAGTGACAGGAATTGCAGGGTCCATTTACTGTAACAATCAATTTTCATGCAAAAGAATGAATTCCTTGCCATATCTCATGTGGATGGAGTTTTGTCATTACAATGCAATGGGGGAGGAGGGGATGGAAATGCACTTAATTTAGATTTAAATGGATGAACAGATTATTCCAAGCAAAGACACTGAGATAAAATGACCACGCCATCCTCAAGTCCCTCAGTTGTACTTCGATATCACAGCGCCACACATGCACGGCAGTAAGCATCCCAGATCACTCTTTGCCCTGAATGTACTGAATTCCATACTGAGGTGTAATGAACTGTGCTCCTACAGTAGCCCTCAGGAATTTACAAGAGAGGCAGCTGAAGGGGAAGAAGAGAGGGGCAGACGAAGGCTTAATGTAAATGAATGAAATAAAGAGAGAAGACAAGGAATGGGAACGGGGAGAAAAGAGGAGGGGTGTATGAATAGGAAGTGAACAATAGAAAGCAAAAAGGAGAGCAGGTGGAGGAGAAAGGGAAAAAAGGAGCGCAAAGAAATAATTGGACTGATGGGAAATGGGGCTGTCAGGGAGAAGACAGTGGAGGCAACTATCACATTGGACAAAGGTGAACCACCCTGAATCGTTATAACTAATCTACCTGGTTAAGTTATCTACCTGCTTTCAGTGGTCAATATCTGATGCTCAAGAGGAAGGCATCAATTAGAAATCCTAATGGATTCCAATTGCTACCTGGCTTTCAATGTATGCATTTGTAGGAGTAACTTTTGAACAAGCTCTCTCTGGTGTGCATTCTGTAACATAACACTCAAGGTAGAGGACAATCAAGGAAGGATAAGGCCAGGGTATTTACTGTTCCACACACGAGCACATAGTCTTTGACTTAACAAGGCGACATTTTCCTTTGCCTGGAAGCTCTCCCACATTAGCTTGTTGGAAGTGTTTGGTATGTCCTCACACACACATATATTAGAAAAACATCCATGAGATTATTAAATTTCTAGTCTCTGCTAGACCAAAGATGAATTTGTGATCAGAGGGAGTATCGTATTATACAGATACAATGTGAAATTCTGGTTCCATTGAAGCAGAACTCCCACTGACTTCAAGGGGAATATAGTATTCAGAGGGACTGCTCCCATCCCTTTCCGCTGACAGCATCAGTTCAGGAATCAAACAAGAGTAGATGGAAGTTCAAGTTATTTTCTACTATAAGCCAAGCAGTTGAAAAAGTACAAAGTAGCCCTGTGTCTAGGACTTGTTTAGGGGAAAAAAAATCTGTACTGATTTATTATTCTACTGACTTCAGTGGGGTATTTAAAGGTGTAAATCAGTGGTGAATGTGGTGCCTTAGTCTAGAAAAATTATTTTTTAAAACCCAAAGGCCTTTATCTGTGGCATACCTTTCTACAGGATTTCTGCATTTTTAAAAAAGATTTAAAACCTCAGCTATTTAGTGCAAAATTCTCTCTAGTTTCCTAGAGAATTTACAATACAGGAAATTACAAACTTACACTTATCAAACTACCAAGCCCTGCTGCAAACATAATGGCTAAGACTGCAATAATCTTTTTTTCTATGACTGGGCTCTGCATGTAAAGTCATAATACAAGAAGTTTTGTGAGTCACTGCTAAGTAACTAAGTAAAATGATGAATGGATGGAAGGGTGTCCCCAGTGACATTATTGGCAGGAGCACACAAAGCTAATGCTATCCCTAAACATATTAGGCTGTTTAGGGACTGATCCTGCATTGCTTATGTACCCATAAACTCCCATTGACTTACATTAGCATTAATTTTGATGGGAGCTTTGGATACACAAATAATGCATGTCTGGGTACTTAGAGAAATACCTCTGGAAAGGGTACAGAGTACATATTTGTGTCTGCACCTTTCAAACACCTACAACTGGGGAAACTTTTGATCTACTGCTTATTAATGCCCTGCTAATAAGGGAGCTTGGCTTTGAATACGAAGCAAAAAATAAACTGTTTATACAATGAATTGTTGTTTTGCACTTAATCTTTTGGCCCAAGCTATGCACAGTCCTGAAATCATTTCCATTATGCGGTAAAGGGTAGGATACAGATCCCGTGATGCACTACAGAGCACAACACTATGCTGGCTCTCAAGGCAGGACCTTGAAAGTGGAGGTTAAATGCATTGTCAATGGGTCACTGACTACAGAGAGGATCTAGCCAAAGCCCATATAAAGGCAGAGTTGCCTCATGCCCTGTCCTGAGGTTGTGGATGTGAATGTGCGTGGGAGAATTCTAATCCTGCCAAGCCTGCACATGATCCTTCTCTCTGCATGCAAGTCATACAATTGTGGTAGGAGTGAGTCCAGAGTTCAGATCTGCTACTACTTTACTAAGAAATACAGTAGCAGCCTTGAGATTAAAAAAAGAAGGAAAGAAGTTAATCAAGAGTTTGTATAAACAAGCTTATCAAACCATAGCCTTAGAATGACTGACAATGAGTTATTTTTGCATTATATTTGTGCACTTAAATTCTATTAATGTAAAAACAATAAGTTAGCGCTATTCCTCAAGAGAAGCTGGTGATCAAACACAAAAAGGAAGCATTTTAAAAGTTTAAAGAAGGTATATATTCTGATCCCAGATACCACGGCATGTACACTATCTGTTATTAATTATTATTGTTGTTTTTTATAAAGTTTATTTTTAAAATCAAAGTAGAAAATTACATGAACAAAAATATGTTATTTTTAGAAACATACTAAGTTTATCATTTATCACCCATTAGCTGTTAAAATAGTTACTTGATTCATTCTTTTGATATTTCACACATGGGAGGCCAATACTGATTAACTACTGTCAAAATTAAAATTCCTTATTACTGCCAATTTAACTGTAATATAAGCATTGGAACATTAGTCTGTAGACAGACAAGAAATTAAAATTGAAGTCTGTAACATACTGGCTCTAATATAGGAAACATGAAAGCAGAGATGACCAAAATGGTCCATGAAGAATTAGACCAGGAGGAGCACTCTGTTGAATGACACCATATTCATGTACAATAGCCTGTTGATATAATTAAGACTTCCTGAAACAAATTTTACAACATTTTGGGGGCCTGAATATGCTCCACTGGAGTCAATGGATTCCCATTGGCTTCAGCAGGACCAGGATCCAGCCCACAATCTCTAAAATAAAGTGAGAGAGAGACAGAGACAGGGAGAGATTTCAGAATACTACATGATCTTAGCTGACATGAAGGAGAATACAAAAGATTCAGTGCACAAAATCCAGTGTAGAAAATTCAGCATATATGCCATGTTCAGCAACAGCATTTTGACATCTCATTGTTTTTCCACAAATGGAAAAACATTTATTATCATCATCTATTTTTACCGGCTTTCATTACTATCAAGAACACTTTGAGCTAAGCTATGCTAAAAAGATATCTCCTTTTTTTATGCAAACTGTGTTTTGTTTTTGTACGGCTAAAGAACATTACAGCAAAGGGCACACTCTGCTGGTCAGAAGCACCCTTTACACCAGGTGCCTTTCAGAGATACTCTACAATGACTAAAAGAACGATTTAATTACAGGGGGTCAGGGTCTGAAGTGGTTACTCACTAGCAGCTTGCTATCTGACTTTTTTCATAATCTCAAATATCGGGGAACTTGTCTATGAAACTCTCACTATGCGCGGATTCTATCACACTTCTCGAGTATCAAATTAATCGATGCATACAGTAGGTGCATTTGCTGAAAAAAAGTTTTTAAAAGCACTATGTCACTGTACAAAACTCTTTACCTTGGGCTTTTCATCCAGTATTTGCTGACGAATCTCCTTGTGTTTTTCTACGAGTTTCTCCTGTCTTTTACTCTGAGCATCTTCTAGCTATAAGAAAACAGCAAAAAGTTCTGTTTCACCCAATACACAAACCTGCTTTTTTCCAATTAAAAATTCTCTAATGACAACTGTAAACCTTTTTAATACAGCTGTGTAATCCCCTTTTTGACATGCACCAATGACTTATGTTGTTGGCAATAGTTCTTCTATGGGTACATATACCACACATGCACACTTCACAGGAGAGACAAGATGGGTGAGATAATTGGACCAACTTCTGTTGGTGAGAAAGACAAGCTTGTCTCTCTAATATCCTGGGCCTGACACGGCTACAACACTGCATATAAACTTCACAGGAGGCAATGCTCCTAAAAATAATATTTGGTCCCCATCCTGCAAGGAGCCTTGTATGGCTAATTTCTGCACCCAGAAAGAACTCTTTGCGGGGCTTGAAGAAGGAAACATCCACATATTTTTGGCTATAGTACAGAACTTGGGCCCTGATTCACCAAAACACTTAAACATGCACTTGACTTCCATGGAAATGGAACACATGCTTAAAGTTAAGCATATTCTTAAGTGGTTTCCTGTATTGGGGCCTTTGTGAGCAAAAATGACTCAGCTGTTGAATTAAAATAGTTCTGCACTGAAGACCTAAAGAAATTCCTGGGAGTTTATTTTGCATATTTTTGATTTGAAAACATTTTGATCCACATTTCACAAAGCAAAATTTGGGGCTCAGTACAACATTAAGACAGTTAAAACCATAAAATAGCTAACATTTTCTCATGAATTTCCATGAAAAAAAATGTATTTTGCAGAGCTCTGCTTAGAATGCTTACGCATTTCAGCAGTTCTACAAACCTAATAAAGAATATGCTGTAATTAAATGTTCTTTGGTTCTCAGCGTTCTTTAAGCCATCAATGCATTCTTGAGACAGCAAACCAATTTACAAAAATGTTTCTCCAATACCTGAAGGCAAGAAGCCATACACAGTTTCCATGAATAAAAACTGCACAAAGATCAAAATAAATCTAGATTCGGATAAGAAAAATAATTTAATTCCCCCAGTCATGGATTGTTCAAAAAAGACATAAAATTCTAATTTCATATACAGTAATATACAAATAATCCGTATGGCAGTTGCACAAAAAGTTGAAATTTTAGAAGCTTCATTTAAAACTTCAGAAAAAATGGTTACTCACCTGTACAATAACAATTGTTCTTCAGGATGTTTTATGTACTTATGCATTTCATTGTAGAGTATCTACACCCAATGCACTCAAGTCAGAGGCTTTTGCCAGCAGAACCACTAGGCAGTACATGCCTAGTAGTACCTCTATTGGAATCAGGATATAGTGGGAATAAAAGCCTTTCCTAATGTGCTGATAAACAGCTTCCTGTATTGAGCCCAGATCCAAGAGACTGTACATCTTGCATAGATACAGCCTCATGATATGGGTCCCCGAAAAGGGATGGGGAAGGTAGGGTGGAGAAGGAAGTGAATTGGCCGAGAACAAATTTCTATCCATTCACTGTAAAAGAAAGGTAGGCAGTTTCCAAATGGGCAGCCGAAACTTTGGAGATGATTTACAGTCAGTATGCTGTCTTTGACTCTGATGCCAAAATGACTGTTTTGAAGCAGAGGTCTGGTGACAAAGGCCTGCTGTGGACAAAGCTGATGGACAACCTCTAGAAGGCTTAGATCTCTGGCTAAAATGATCTTAAAGTTCATATTGTCCCTGTGGTCTGAAATATTTCCTCTTCATCACTTGGGCACAGATACTGAGAGAGCAAAGAGTCGCACAGGAATCTTCACATGCACACCATGAACATCAGTCTTTCGAGAAAAGAGCTTAGTGCCCTCAAGTGGCAAGTTTTCTATTGCATTTTGAAGTTCCCTTGGCATTCAGGAGGCCTGTAACTAAAGAGAATACCTCATTGAGATGGCTGTCACCTTTGAAAATGAAGCCATATCCGCTGTGTTGATAGCCATTTAGAGATGCCTGGGCAGTGAGGTGACCTTTAGAGGCTATGGCCAAGAACTGCTCTTTATATTCCTCAGGCAACTTATCCGTGAATTTAGAAATTGCCCAGCAATTAATAAAGGAATACTTGGCCAATAAAGCCTGACAGTTCGACACTCTAATTTGAAAGTTTATGAAGGTATAGGCCTCTCTCCGGTATAAATCCAATCTCTTAAATTCCTTGTCTTTCGGGGTAGCCTTGGGGAGCAACTGCCTCAACTGTTCATTCACTGCTGTGACAACTAGAGAAACTGGGGTAGGGTGAGTGAAAAAAAAATCATGCTCTTGCTGGGAAACCTGATGTCGCCTATCCACACATTTGGCAGAGAAACAGGTATCTGCCAAATGGTCTTAGCAAGTTCCAGCAGGATTTCGTTAATGGGAAGGCTGATAATAGCTTGTGCAGATCATCTTGCTAAAGTTCCACCTGTGCTCCTAGGGAAGCCGCCACCCTCCTTCTAAAGTCTTGAAAGACCTTAAAGTGCTCAGGCAGAGGTGAAGTTGACTCAAGTGCAATGGACTCATCTGCAGAAGAGGAGGAATATCTTGGAGTTCTTCTATTGGGTCCTCTTGGTCTGGGTACTCCAAAGCAGGGTGACAGGATCTCGTGGTTCCACAGGAGCTTCACTAGTGGCTACAGGAGTTGGAAGAGGTGACTTCCTCCTGGATTGTGTAGCTGATAGAGTCCAGAGGGCCTGAGAGCAGTCCCAGAGGCCCAGTATGGCCAAAGGGGCTATAGCAGTGTTTGCAGTGTCTGTGGTGAAGGGCACCATACCAGGGCATCTGTATGAATAACTTGCTCCACGGGTCATGAATGCTAAGAGTGAGATCCGTATGGAGATCCAAAAGACCTCAGAGATAAAGGTCTATCATTGTCTGAGTCTGACGAGGAGGAAAGATAACTCCCTCTCTTCATTGAATGGACAGGCAAGTCCAGTGGTTCCCGGTGGAGTCCTGGGCACAGGAGACACGTGGCGCTGCACCAAAGGTAGGACGAAGTATCCGACGGTGCTGGTGGAAGCAGACAAGCACCACCAATGAAGGTAAATTTTCTGTTGCTGGAGCTGGTATTGGATCCACCAGTGCCGGGGTTAACGATCTCTCCAGTAAAGGAGAAAACACTGGTCTTGTTAGGCCCACTGGAGCTGGCAGCAGCGGTGCAGCCTCAGACATTGTACAGGGGGTGTTGAGTTGGCACCGGAGGACTTTTAGCACCATTTTTTGAGATCAGGAGTGCGGCCTATCTGCCCCAAAGTTCTGAACCGGCTGGGGTGGCCGCAGGAAAGGAAGGAGATCTATGATTCTCCCCCGAAATTGGCTTTGGAGCCATGGCAGCTGGAGGCGGCCCTCCTTGTGGGGTATATCTTGCTCTCTCGTCCTAGGGATCAGGCTCTGAAGAGGGATGCATTGCCTTTCCAAGAAAATAAACCCTATATCACAAATCCCTCTGTTTCTTTGCCCTCATGGGGAATGAGATGCAGATACAGCACTTGTCCCTCACATGTCCCTCGCCTAAACAAACGAGACAACTTTTGTGCCTGTCAGTGATGGGATAAGGGTCCTGCACATGGCACATTTTTGCCTGGCAAAACCCTCTCCACAAAGCCTAAGTAACTAAACTATAACTATACTAAGTGAACTATAACTATGTACAAAGTGAGAAAATCCCTAAGTTGGCGAACCAAGGCTCATGAGTGCTGGGGAGCTCTAAATATCGCCATGGGTGGTGAGAGGGAACTGAGAGGAAGGTGGTGGCTATGCCCCTTTTATGCCCTTGGCTCTGTGCATGGGGGGAATGCGCCCCCTAGTGGTCTTTGGCTTGAGTGCGTTGGGTGCACATACGCCTACAGTGAAATGTATATGCTCATACTCACGCCCATGGATAACTTCCAGTCAAACTGTAATCTGTAAAAGCTGAAGATTTACAAAGAATGTAAATACAACAGACTGACGTACCCTCTTTATGTACTGCACCACTTCCTGGATATACGATCGAATCATTTCTGTCTTCTCTCTGGGGACAAGGGATTAACAAGTTATTGCAGTAGACAAAATTACATCAATATGTTGTCAATTCAGATACATCAAATACCCAATGTGATAGACTCTGCCTTGAAGAGACAGTTCTGTCTGTCCAGCCATCTGCATTTCTAAAGTGTCTAATACGTTAGAATCAGGGTGTTGGAGTTATATCTTCAGAAACGTCCCAAAATGTCCAGATCTGTGACTTCCTGCAATGAAATTATTTTCCCTTGCTTGCCTTTAAGTCCTGATAATGTCAGGCAAGTCCTGCTCTCAGTTAGTCCTTCTGCTGTAGAGTATTGTTCCTGTTGCAGCTTCTATGTGGCAGCACTGTTCTTTTAAGTGTGGAAAATGGAATACCAAAGAGAACGCACAGGGCATCACCTGCTACGTTACCCAACATGTTATATTACGCAGTATTCCATGTCAGTGAGCAGATACTGCGGATGAAATCCAGCCTCACTGAAGTCTCAGCGACTCCAGTAGGGTCAGGATTTCACCCCATAACTTTACTATGTGAGCCACAGAGCTCTGGATTCAGTTGAAACATTTGAATTTTAAAGGTGCCTATGAATGGCATTGGATAGGGGCTTGCTCTACCGTGGCAGACAGCCTGGCAGGCCAAATGACTTAACAGAGCTTCTCTGCTAATGTGGTAGTTTAGCTGGTGATGTGCTGCAATACTTTGGGGGGTAGGGCACGGCTGCTTGTCTTCTGCTTTTGAACTGCGTTGTCTTATTCTTCTCCACAGCAATGCTGCTGAGCCATGTTGGTTCGCCTCTCAGCTGCCACACTGACTGGACACAACAAAAAGAGGTTTCTACTGACCTTTGTCACTGGTTTTCTTTACAACCATTTTAAGTGGAGGCAGGAGAACTTGGGCGGGAATATCTCAGCAGCTTCATCAGCAGTGACCTTTTAGACAGATTTTTTTCAGGATGGCCTAGTCAGAGTTAACACACACTGCCATAGACATGTACACTATAGCAGGGGCAGTGCAGATACATTAGAAGTCAGTGGGACTTATGGGCCTTTGAAAATTTTACTTGTGGCAATATAGGCCCTAATTCTGCACCATTAAAATGAATGGGAACTTTGCCATTGACTTCAATGAGCATAGTATCAAGCCCACAGTGAACATGCAGTTCATTAGAGATGATGGCATGTAGTAATTTGAGTATACAGTGTAAAAGGTTTCTTTACTGTTTCTGAAGTTCGCAGAGGGGAAGATAACTGTTCCCAAATGATGGACTAGTTGCAAAATTTCAATAAAATCAAGGAGCACTTAAGAGGTTAAACAGAATTTTGAATTGCTTGGTAAACCTATCTATACATAAGGGACTAAAATATGTTGCTTCCAGGCAGCTATGCAAACCCTAGAGACAGGGAAAAATTAAGAACGATAGAAAAACAAAAGCCTGCAAAGTTTGGCACGATATATTAATCTGGGCATATTTTGATTTCCCACATTTGCAAGAGAGCATCCTCAAATCCCTACTTGGCACAGGAGGTCTTCAAGGAAACCACTGAGTTTGCACACAGGTCCTGCTACCTCTTTCAGTGGGGAGGGGCAAACTGTGTCCACTTGTTGGAACAGCTGGGGAGAAACATAATGAGTTTCCTGCTCCTTTTGCTGCCTCCACTGGATTTTCCTGTGCAAGGAGTTTGAGGGAGTCTCCTTAGGGACTTTTACCTGTCTACTTTTGAACACCTAAATTGATATTTCAATAATCTTGTGACAGGCAAATCATTTCATGTTGCAATTGATTTTACCATTAGGACATTTTTCATAATGTCTAACTGATTCTTCCCAATTTTATTTCCATGCCATTATGCCAACTTTAACCACCTTAAATAATTCTTCCCCTTTTACACTATCACTTTTTATTCCTGTTTTGTCATCTTCTCCTTAGGCTGCTTGTTAAATTCCTCTAATGTCTGTTCTCAGGTCATGCATTGTAGTCCCTTTATCTCTGTAGCCCATCTTTCATTTCTATCAATAAAAAGATGTATTTCTTTTTCCTACAACAAGAAGCTCCAAACCATACACAGTGGTAATACTATATTAAACACTGTATAATCGTGGCTTTGTGGAAAAGCCTGGGTTTTTTTTTGTTGTTGTTTGCTTGGGTTTTTTAAATTCTATTGCATTTTTTTTTTTAAATTTGGTTTTAAATATTACAAAGCATCAGGATCCTGGGCAGAGGTAGGCAGGACTAGTGGCAGGAGCTCAGTAGGCAGAACAACCACCGGAGTTCAGAGTCAGTATCAGAGTCACCAGTCAGGCCGAGGGTCCAGCTGAAGGCAGAGCCGGGGACAGGTCAGAGATCAGGCTGAGGGTCAATACTGGGTAGCAGGGTAGCAGGAGTCAAGGTCCAAATCAGAGAAGAAGCCAATACCAAGGCTCAGGAACAGGGAGGTCATAGTAGCTAGCTAATAATCCACACTGTTACCTGGACACTTCCTGAAACACCCCTTGGGTTTATATAGAGCAGTGAGCCAATCAAGTGCCATAAAGGTGCCACTTCACAAGTCCCTTGAGGTGGGATTTCCTGTAGTTGGTGTCTGCAGCGGGTCATGGGTGGTGGATACGCAAGCTACTTACAGTTCATGGGTGGGGATACGCAAGCTACTTACAGATGTTACTGGGTAGCAGTGCGGAGTTGTTTGCTATCTAGAAACTCTGCAGGCCTGGGTTTGAGACCCACTAGGCCTTACACAAAGATTGATAGCTAATAATAAATACAGTAGTGCAACCTAAAATGTTCTATTCTCTCTTTGAATTATTTGCCAAAAAGGAATTGAGGAAAACAAACAAATCCTATTTACTGCATACTAGAGGAGGATATAGCCCACTTACCCAGATATATTCTGTGCTTATTTGTGAACCATAAATCAAATAAATATTTTTGCACTTTTTTAGAGATACTGCACCCACAGAACCCAATTCTTCTCACTTCCACTGTTGAAAAATCAGGAGAAACTCCACATTGGCTAAAGCTAGCATGAAAGAAGGATCTGAGGTGACATTACAAAACTACCACAAACCCTCCATTATAATGATGCTGTTTGTTTCAATCAGAAACGAGTTTATAATAGGTAAAGTTAAAAAGAAAGGAAATTCCTACCCAACAAACTCTGTTAAGGTGAAATGAAAGCCTCAGGAACTGTCAGTAGTTTGAGTTCATGCTATCATTCAATAACATTATAATTTTTTAAACATAGGAAAAAGGTAATATGCCGGTAAGGTTGCATTTCTCAAACAAGGCACCCAAACTACTTGAACGATGCACCCATAGAGGGGCCAGCCTGCCACATTCCTTTCCTGGTATGCTCCATATCAAAAATGGCCCACAGAACATTAGTTTTATAGTGTGTTTTAAGGGTGTCTCTCAAATCCAGGCCTAATCCCACGAACACTCCCGCACATGAGTAACTTTACAACATTGATTTGAAGCCAATGGGCTTTTTCACGCACATGTAGAAGTGTTTGTGGGATCAGTGCCTAAGTGTGCCATTCTGTCACCACACTGACCTTGGCTCTTTTCATGAGGATTCTCTCATTTGACATGGACTGCAGTGCAAAAGCACACCCATTCAGCTGGCAAAGCGCTTACATGCGGAGGAGGGGTTTGGATTCATTCAACAGGAGGTGGCACGATTCCTTTGGTGACCCCTTACTGCCTGCATACTGATCATTTAGTTGAGGCTTTTCTTTTGATGTCACGTGGACCAAATGTCCTTGCACTTCTTCATAAAATCTAACACAGTTTTAGAATACACTTACTCATCCACTTGATTTTTATCCCTGGACTTAGCTTCTGTGATCTTCTCCTGCCTCTTCTTGTCCATTTTCTTCTTTAACTCTTTCTTTTCTCTACAGGAAAGAGAAATAAAGATAAATCTACACACACATACATATTTCAACCAGAAGTTAGATGCTGAAGAAGATTTAGTTAGTTATATGAGAATATCACCTTACTTTTCACAAGTCTCTTTCAGTTTCTTTAACTGGCTGCTCTGACATTCCTCTGCCACATCTGTCAGCTTCTGAATGAGCTGAAAAAAGTAAAACAATGAGTATTTTATATTTTGTCATCATAAATAATCCCAGATTTCTTCAAAAATGTAGCGTGGTGAATACGTGCAAATGTTATTTCATCACCAGTATGTATACGTGATTAAAAGCTAGCAGCAGTTCTATCAATGAAGCGTGGACTGTCATCTTGAGAACTGTGGACTTACACATAAAAATCTCATTCGCTTCCAAGTGTTTTCCTACTTATGAACAAGAATAATTGTGGTCACTGATAAATTACAATTGAATCTCCATGCCTTTGTCTAGTTCAGTTTCACACATGCAAGTGTGGTATACAGTTTCCATGAACAGAACACTGTTATTTGCAACAATTATGATTTTGGTGTAGCCAGGTAGATGTAATAGTTTCATGCATTTTGGGTTAGAAGTGACTCTTTGCTCATATCTAGGAAGTATGGACTAGAGGTTAAAGCACAGGATTGGGAGTCAGAAGATCTGAGTTCTGGCTTTGCCAGAGACCTGGTCTATGACTGTTGGCAGATTTAAGGCCAAATTCTGTTCCCACTGAAGTCAGAAACAAAATCTCTATTGACTTCAGTAGGAACAAGAGTGGTCCCTATTGGCGAAAAAAAAAAAACCCTCTATGCCTCAGTTTGCCCATCTGTAAAAGGGGGAACAATACTTCCCTACATCATATGAGACTAACTTCATAATATTATGAGTCATAAAAGGGTCACTGATATATTTCACTTGAAGATCACTACAGTTTAGGCATAATTCAGTAAAAATAATCAGATAGACATTTAGAACCATGAAACAGAGAACGTATAGTAAAGGGTAGTTAGTAAAATCCAATTTTTATTTCCTATTTGCAGAGAACAAAAGGAGGGTATTGAGTATGAACTCTCTTCTAGAACTACAGAATAACAAAGTATACAACTAAGAAAGAATTCTCTTTTGTTTGTGAAGCAAATTTTCATCAGAGCAAATAAAGCTCAGAGGAAACTGTCAGAATGTTTCTTATTGAAAAAGTAATTATCATGACACTTCATAACTGAACAATTCAGAAAATGTAACCAAGTTGGGAACAGTCATTATGTGCTTTGAAATGTAAATGTAAGCAGGGAAATGAGTTCACAGACAATAAGAAGCCCCACAAAATAATTATATACTAGTCCAAAATGGTTGTTTGCACGAAAGTAATATAAATGTTACATTCCAAATAAAAAGATAAGACACAGCCCATTTTAGACATAGCTCATTACCAAAACCGAGGGTGGGTTCCTGAGGACATTGGACTAATCATGTAACTGTTCATCAGTGTGAGTAAGGGGTTTACCTTCATATCCTCCAACTGCAAACATAAAGGGGCTTTGCATATTACTCTGCTATAGGTAACCTGCAGTATGTTGTGTAGAAAGGATTAATTGTGTATTTTTCAAATACATACTTTTTTTGGACTATTTGTATGGCAGGGACACAATACTTCAAAATGATACGGATATGCAACTAATGCTACAGGAAAAATGGTATGATACTACTTGGTGTTATCTGAGAAATAGCTTGTGATCACATGAACACAGACCAGCCTATAAAGCCAAGGGGGCAGTGACAAAGATTTGAACGCCTCCTTAACTTTGGCATTTCTTCACTTTGAGTGCATAACTGTTCAATGTTCTCCTCACATCTTCTTGTGAGTGGAATGCATCATACAACATTGGGAATTCCAAGTTCTTACCACATCCTCATGTCGTTCAATGATGATTTATCTCTTAAGAGTGTGGATGTGAGGAAGAAAGAAAGGCGAAGGCAAATGAGATAGAGAAATCTTGAGAGAGAAAGCGAGAGCCAGTCTTGTGTCTGGCCTGGAAAGGAATTAGAGTGCTGACTCAGCTTCTGGACCTATTCAAACCTGCCTTTAGCAAAAGTGCCAGTGAGAGATATAGAAGTATTTCTTGGGCAGAGGTGAATCCAACTTTTAAGATGATCTCAAATCATCCAGGAGAAAAATCAAGTGGAGAGCATTTCACAAAGAGTGAATACCCACAATGTCTAATAATCGTCACCAGAAGCAGTTAAATTGCTCTTGACCTAGGGGGAATGACTATCCTCAATAGTTTTTCCTGTGTGGTATATGTAACTTGACAAAATCAAGGGATAAGAGCAAATTAATGACGACAAGAGAGAAAAAATCAGTGGGCCAAATTCGGTTCTTGCTCACACCCAGCTCAGCCCACTGTTAAACAACAGAATACCAATTGAAATGTATTAAATATTTCTGGATGTTTTCCTACATTTTCAATATTGCTTTCAATTACAACACAGAATACAAAGTGCACAGTGCTCACTTTATATTATTATTTTTTATTACAAATTTGCACTGTAAAAATGATAAAACAAAAAGTATTTTTCAATTCACCTCATACAAGTACTGTAGTGCAATCTCTATCATGAAAGTCCAACTTACAAATGTAGTTTTTTTGTTACATAACTGCACTCAAAAACAAAACAATGTAAAACGTTAGAGTCTACAAGTCCACTCAGTCCTACTTCTTGTTCAGCCAGTCTCTAAGAGAAACAAGTTTGTGTACATTTACGGGTGATAATGCTGCCCACTTCTTAATTACAGTGTCACCTGAAATGAGAACAGGTGTTCACATGGCACTGTTGTAGCTGGTGTCGCAAGATATTTACGTGCCAGATGCGTTAAAGATTCATATGCCTCTTCATGCTTCGCCATTGTTCCAGAGGACATGCTCCCATGCTGATGACACTCGTTAAAAAAATAAGGTGTGAATTAAATTTGTGACTGAACAGCAGAATTATGTCTCCTGCTGCTTTACCTGCATTCTGCCACATATTTCATGTTATGGCAGTCTCGGATGATGACCTAGCACATGTTTGTTTTAAGAACACTTTCACTGCAAATTTGACAAAATTCAAAGAAGATACCAATGTGAAATTTCTAAAGATAGCTACAGCACTCGACCCAAGATTTAAGAAACCGAAGTGCCTTCCAAAATCTGAGAGGGCTGAGGTGTGGCACATGTGTTCAGAAGTCTTAAAAGAGCAACACTCTGATACGGAAACTACAGAACCCGAACCACCAAAAAAGAAAATCAACCTTCTGCTGATGGCATCTGACTCAGATGATGAAAATGAACATGCTTTGGAACATGCGTCGGGTTGCTTTGAATCATTATCGAGCAGAACTCATCATCAACATGGACGAATGTCTTCTAGAACGGTGGTTGAAACATGAAGGGACGTATGAATCTTTAGCGCATCTGACATGTAAATATCTTGTGATGCTGGCTACAACCATGCCTTGCGAACGCCTGTTCTCATTTTCAGGTGACATTCTAAACAAGAAGCCTAAAATATATAAGTCTAAAATAAATATAAGGTGAGAACTGTACACATTGTATTCTGTGTTGTAATTGAAATCAATATATTTGAAAATATGGAAAACATCCAAAATATTTAAATAAATGGCATTGTACTATTGTTTATCAGCACAATTAATAGTGCAATTAATCATGATTAATCTTTTTAATCAAGCAATTAATTGCAATTAATTTTTTTAATCGCTTGAGAGCCCCACTTGTAAATGCTCAGAAAATCCACTCTATACTTAAAATAAGCACTGAAAGTTTGTTGAGGATATACTGCATTTTTCATACAAAACAAAAAGGTTTCTTTAAGTGCAAAATCAAACTCCATCCTTAACTATGGAGTCCTGAACAGCACCTCCGTAATGTGAAATGAACAAGAGCTGTCCATGAATGCAGCAAAAACACTTTCCCTGTGTAATCACACATCTCCCATTCATCAAGATGAGTTACGAACAATCAGATATGTGAGAGCATTCCATATGTATTTCACACAATGAAGAGACAACACATTTAAACTCGGTAACTTTAGAAAATGGCCGTGTCCCTGAGAGCCTTTAGGCATTGATCCTGCAATGAGTTTTGCGGGCGGATCCCAGCACTCACACAGAGCTCCTAATAGGGAGGGGGCCTTAATTTGCACAGTGTGACCCGATCAAGATCCCTTGTATTACAGTAAGCACGGAGTTAGCTTCAGACTTAAACCTCACACAGCTGTAAGGGGCAGAGGGCAGGTCAACACTACAAATGTTGCATCAGTGCAGCTGCACTGATCCAAATGCAGAGGGGAGAAGAGCTGAAGCAATGGGGGATGGGGTGGGAGAGGTAGATTAAGCCAAGGAGATGCGGCAAGGAGACTGGGACCGAAACCCATGAAGGTAAATGGAGGGGGGACTAAGAGACAACAGGTGCAGGGGAGACTGAGACCAGATGAGGAGCTGCAGGGAGACTGGGACTGGCTGAGCAAGGAGACTGGAAATGAAAATTAGTTGGGTGGGGAGTGTGACAGATACGGCAATTTCCTGCAATATCTTTGAAAAATAAGTTTAAGGCCTTGTCCACACTACAGGGGAAAGTCGAGCTAAACCATGCAATTTGAGCTACGTTAATAGTGTAACTCAAGTCAATGTGGCTTAGATCTATTTACCATGGGGTCCACACTATGCTATGTGGATGGGAGAGCGATCTGCAGTCGATTTAGTGGGTCTTCACTAGACCCGCTAAATCGACCGCCGATGCATCGATCCCCTGGTAAGTGTAGACAAGCCCTAAGTATCTTTGGGTTCCATTGTATTACATGCAAAGTTTATGTATTATTGTGGGCCAGGATTGTATGTTAGCTCTGTAGGGGGGAGATGTGATGTGAAGTGTGGGAGTTCAAAGGACTATACTAAAAATGTGCCAGACAAGAATGGACAATAAGTGTCAAGTGGATTTCCTGGGAAATGTCAAGGGGGAAATAAATGAAAATTTCCCACCTCTGGTTATGCAAAACTCCTGCCTTGTGAAGCTATATCCTGAGCTAAGTCTTTGTCTGATGATTACTTGTTCCCAGATCAAAGGCCCAACGGCTATGAAGAAATGGCTGAACTGCCCAGCTTGGCTTCTGGTTCTGAATCTGAGACAGC